CGGTGTGGCGGTGGAAAGTGGGGAGGGCATCTCCCACTGTACACCCATCTTTGAGGGGTATGCACTGCCCAAGGCGAACCGTCGCGTTGATCTGGGCGGACGCAACATCACAGAGTTTCTCATTCGACTGATGCAGCGGCGCGGATATAGTTTTAATCAGAGTAGTGACTATGAGACGGTGCGGCGAATGAAAGAACGCTTCTGTTATGCGGCGGTGGATAGTAAGCTCGAGAAGCAGCTTGCCCTTGAGACAACAGTGCTGGAGCAGACCTTTCTACTACCAGATGGCTCATCCTGTAGTATTGGACAAGAGCGTTTTGAGGCTACTGAGGCGTTGTTTCAGCCTCACTTGATAGACGTTGAGTGTGATGGGCTATCGACACAGCTGTGGAACTGCATACAGGCCGCTGAAATTGACGTGCGGGCACAGTTATACAGTCATGTTGTGCTGTCTGGTGGCTCAACGATGTTCCCGGGCCTTCCGAGTCGTATTGAGAAGGACATGCGTGCAATGTTCCTTGAGAAAGCACTTAAAGGTGACCGCTCACGTCTTGGTCACTTTAAGCTGCAAATTGAGGACCCGCCACGGCGGAAGTATATGGTCTTTCTTGGTGGGGCGACATTGGCAGCATTGACAGTGGACCAGCCAGAAATGTGGCTCACACAAGCGGAATGGCAGGAAGGAGGTGTGTCGGCGGTGCGGGCCCGTTTTGGTGCTTAGGGGCTATGGAAGCGGAGACAAAAGCTTATATATTTAAATATATTCATTGAGAAAGGGAACGAGCGAGGAAATACCGTGAAATAGACTTTGAATGCGTTGTGCGATGTCGTACATCTTGTCCAGACCCACGAACTACGTGGGAAGGCTGCAGTGCGAAGCCTAGTGAGAAAAAGAAGGCTCGGAGGGAAAATAGGGTGTATTTTTCTGTGAAATCCACTTTTGTTTTGTTGTTTTTTCCTGCCACAGTACATATGTAGATGGCTTATTTATCCTTCTTGTACACATACATGTATATATATATATTATTTATTTATTTATTTTACTTGTTGTTGCAAGCAAGAACTTATGTTGTGTCTCTCTTACTGTTTCTTTTTTTTTCTTACTTGTAAAAAAGGGAGTGGTGCGAAAATACGCAGGAAAGGAACGGGGAGAAGTGTATCATTGTGTGCAATGGGAAGAAAGAAGCGTGTGGCCAGTCATGCCATCAAGAGTATCCTCATGAAGGAGAAAAGTCTAGCACAGAAGAAAAAACGGGAAATGGATGGTTATCAAGACACACCAGAACCGGTGCTTTCGCAGGTCAAGGATGAGGCTGCTGTGCGATTTCAACGGAATCAACTTACTGTCGCCGCGCCAATGCAGACAAACATGTTTCTTTCATTTAATAAGAGTCTTGGACCACCGTTTCACATCTGGCTGGATACCAACTTTATCAATTTCTCGATGCAGAATAAGATTGAGATTGTAGAGGGGCTCATGGACTGCATGCTTGCGAAGGTCATTCCGTGCGTGTGTGATTGCGTCATGGCAGAGTTGGAGAAACTTGGCAAGAAGTTTCGAATTGCGTTGAAAATTGCGCGTGATAAACGATTCCGGCGGTTGACATGTGATGGCAAGTATGCGGATGACTGCGTTGTGCGGACGGTGACGAGGCATCCCATCTATATTGTGGCAACATGCGACCAGGAACTGAAAAGGCGACTGCGTAAGATTCCTGGGGTGCCCATTATGTACATCTCAAAACACCGCTACACCATTGAGCGGCTGCCGGAAGTGTACGGTGCTCCTGGATGAGGTAAAAAGAGACATTTGGCGATGCGTATAAGCCATATGCGGACTGCTTAAAAGCATGCGAATAAAAGGCACTGCTGAGGCTGCTTGGGTACAAATAGAAAATAGTTATTGGGAAGTGAGAGAAGGAGCACTTCTGGCTATTGTCTCTGCCCTATATATTTGTTCTCGTTGTTGTTGTTTTCTTTGTATGAGCCTTGGAGGCCATCAGGGGAAGACGCTCTAAAAAAGGTGTTTGTAATGTCCCGAGTAAAAAACATTGACGCGGATGTGTGTCTATTTGAAACCTGTTTATTTCTTTTTTTGTATGCGTGTGTGTGTGTGTGTGTGTTTTGGCTCTCGCTAGGCCTTTGGCGGCGGGGGGTGGGATTTGCTCCTCTTTGCAGCCTGCATATGTGTGTGTATTCTGTCTTGTTGACCTCCGTCTGAGGCGAAGGGAATCATGCTGATAAAAACAAGGAGGGTGCGCTGTCCATTGGGTCCGGCCACAAATATTGGTACAGTACGTCGGTGCCTCACGACAGTTGCTGCTGGGGCTTCTGTCCTGGGCGCGCCGTCGTTGAAATCCACATCCGTTGCGTTATCGCCTTCGCAATGGATGCGGTCTTCACTGCAGGAGCAGCGGCGACATCGTAGCTTTTCTTTTTATCTCAACCTGGACGATCCCGCCGAAACGCGACGGCGTGTCGAGGAGGACCTTGCCCGCATCGACCAGGAACACCAGCGAGGCACGATGATGCATCTACACGCACTACTCAACCTTGCCCTTAGCTGCTATCAGTCAGGGGAGTACATTGCCGCCCTCGAGTTTGCGGAGCATGTCCACAACAAGACGCGACAACACAACAAGAATGCAACACTTTTGTTTTTTACTGCCAAAACATGCTCTCGCTGCGCCCTGGCTGTCGCAGATGAGTACGAATCCCACCTGCGGGAAGCAGCGGAAAGGGCAAGTGTGTCTTCAACGTTGGCACCACGTCCTTCCGTCGTGTTTTCAGCGGAAAGGACCATTGCGAAGTTACGCGAGGATGCGGCGCGTTATGATGGCATCGCACAGAGAATATATAACCGCCCCGACAAAGCCTTCATGCGAAACTGGAGGCCTACGTCTACAGGATGGTCCGAGGATGCGTGTGGGATGGACGAGGAGCCGGAGGAATTTTTTGGAGGGCGATGGAAGGAACGCCGCAAGCGACCAGAACACGCGGCAATACGCCAATACTATCAACAGCAGCAACAAAGTAATGGGGGCGGGGTCGGCGTGCCAAAGTGAGCGGCGGAGGGTGGTTCCGGAGGAAAGGGAGTAAAACCCGTTGCTGTTGTTGTCTTTTCCTCGATGGCCACCATGGGGAGAGGGGGCAGGGAGGAGTTATTGTTTGGGGATTCACTCGCCAGCAAAGACTTTCCTTTTCCTTGTCGTCTTGTTACTTTTATCTTTTCCGTTCCTCCCCTTTTCCTCTGCCTTTTTGCCAACAGGTAGCCTCCCTTGTGTTGTCGGAGGGGCACACGCTTTGCCGCCGTGGCGGGGAGGCCATCAACGTGCTTTTGAAATAAGTTTTTGTTTTTGTCCTGGGGATAAAACTTGGAAAAAAGGAGAAAATCAAAAAAAAGAGTGGGGAATTGTGGGAGGAAAAGAGAAATGTCCCAAATACCTGATTCTACGGGCGGTGGCGAAGACAGGGGAGGGGCTGCCGCTCCCAGCCGGACCGGTGTGGGGACACGGCAGAGAGAAACAGCCGGGTGGGATCATACGCCGATTTCCAACGTCGTATCTCTGCAGTCTGCCATCCAGAAGGAGGGACTGACGGAAAAGATATTTTTTGTTGTAATCGATGTGACGGATGGTCGCCGATACAAAGTCTTCCTGCGTCCCGATGATATATCGAGGCTGAAGGTCTCCAAGATACGTAAGACACTCAGCAGCACCTCAGGGAAACCACCCTTTTCATTTGTTCTGTGGCTGGGGGACGAGCCGCTGATTGACAAGGAGGATGTCAACTGCGCTGCGCTCGGCATCACGCCGCGGACTGTGATGCGCATGTGCCCCACTAAAGAGGAAATGCCGCATCCCATAGGAGGATCTGAAGGGAATGGTGGCGTGGACAGGAAGAGAGAGGCGAGGGACGCGTTAGATAATAGAAAAAGCTCGGTGTCAATTGCAGACAAAATTATGGAACAAATTTTGGATGATCCTTTGGAAACCCCGTGTTTGGTTGAGCTCAACCAACGACAGCGAGAACTGCAATTCCAACTGTACAAAGAGGCAAAACGATGTCATATTTTCTCGAAAGATGACGCGGTGGCTGGAATTGGTAGGCATAGAGATGACGAGAACGACGATGCCTTGGATGCCCTTTTATCCCCCCCTCAGACAGCAAAGAACCCACAAATGTGCAGCGTGTCATCTGCGAGGATTCCCGGGGAGCCAATTTGTGAAGATGATAGCCTTATGGGTTTTATTGAGGAGATTTTAAACGAGGGGCCGAAGCGGCAAGAAGGCCCACGTCCGACACCACCGTCTGTGGAATGCTGCCCAGCCATGCCTGATGAACGGCAGTCCTGTGCAGCAGCAGCAGCAGCAGCAAAACAACCATCACTGACTCCAATTGGCTCCAACAATAACATATCAGCATCAGAAATAATCTCGCATGGCATGCGGCTTAACGAAATGTATTCTCTGGAGGATACCGGTGAGTTTGTGGAACCTCCACGTTTCCTCAATCGTGATGCATCATCGGAAAGGAAAAATAGTGTTGAAAATGACAAGGGGAAAAACGATGCGTTGCCAATTAAGTTTGGGGCGGCCACAGCTGTTCCCATCGCGACGCAGGGGGAAGAGAGAGAGGTCACAAGGTTGGTGGAAGATCTGAGGGATGACGTTAATAACCTCCTTGCACTCCACGTGCGAAACGAAACCGCAAAACGCGCTCTTCAGCGGGAGCTTTCGTCCTCACAGCAGCTTGTAAGGCGGTTGGAGAAAAAGGAGGCGGTGACGCGCCAGCAACTTGATGCACTTTTGCTACGCCTTCGTCACGCTCAAGAGGCTAACGGCATTCAAGGGTTCTCTGAAGAAGAGGTTCGTGTGGCACTGCGCAATATGGCGGCTTTGCGTCAGAACGAACTCCTCCAGCGAGAAAATGCTGCACTTGAGCAACGACTTGCCGAGGAGGTACGCAGGCGTCGTGAAATGGTCCTTGCGTTGGAGGACATGAAGGGACATATTCGCGTTTTGGTACGAGTGCGGCCGCCATTTCGTCTTTTGCATGAGCAATACGTTGGAATGGAAGGAAACAACCCAATGTCTGTCCGTGACACTGTGGACGAGTCACGCATGACGACAGACGAAAGGCGCAACACGATTACTATCACTGACTCTCGTGGGGAATCGAAGCAGTTCAACTTTTACCGCGTCTTTTCGGAAAGCTCCACGCAGGCGGAAGTGTTTGTTGAAGTTTTGCCGCTTGTGCAACTTGCTTGCGATGGGGTGAATGTCTCGGTGTTGGCGTATGGACAGACTGGGAGTGGCAAGACGTACACCATATTGGGCGGCGACGGGAATCAAAGCAACACGGAGGCAAAGGGAGACGAAGGAAATAAAGAAAACGATGATGATGGAATTGTACCGCGCTCGTTACGCATGTTATTTCAACACCTACAAGTTGAGGCAGCGACAGAGGCAGTCGTCATGCCGCGTGAAGATGACAATTGTAATGACGACGAACGCGCTTCCTCTACTTATGAGGTTTCTTGTAGTCTTCTGGAATTGTATAATGACAAGGTAAGAGATTTACTTGCGCCCCCACAAGTGATCATCCCCAATTTTCAATTGCGCAAAAGTAACGTTTCAGAGCAACGTGGAAAAACACAGGTAACACCACAGTGTAATTTGAAGATTGGATCCGATGGCCTCACGCATGTAGTGGGCCTTACACAACACGTGGTGTGTGATGCAGGGGAAGCGCTGAGGACTCTTCGTGAAGGTGCCTCTCGACGTCAGGTCCATGCTACACAACAGAACTGTCATTCAAGTCGATCCCATCTCATCTTCACTGTTTACCTCACACAGAAACGCCGCATTCCCTTTCGAAACGACGCATCCACCACACGTGCATCGTCTACTTTCCTCAGGCAAATGGAGAGCAAGTTGGTTTTTGTGGATTTGGCGGGTTCGGAGAGGATTTCAAAGTCACAGAGCGTGGGAGACCGCTTGTTGGAGGCACGACACATAAATAAGAGTCTGGCCGCATTGGGTGACGTCGTGGCAACCCTCTCCAATGCGACAATATCTAACACCGCAGCAGTTCATGTTCCTTACCGGAACAGTACCCTCACTGGGCTTCTGCAGGATGTGATTGGGAACCGTAGCAAGACGGTGCTTCTCGCTTGTGTGGGTCCAAGTGATCCGCCATACGAGAATAACACAGCCGAGACGGTGACCACGCTAAAGTTTGCCAGTCGAGTGAGGTGTGTACGAAACTTTGCGCCGCTATTCCCAACAACAGGAGCAACTGGAGACGGTGATCCCATGAAGGGCCCCGGGACGGATAATTTGGAGCCGGATGTGGATCCCTCACACATCTCCTCTTCCTTGGGACGGGGCGCCAAGAAACTGTGGATGCGGCCGACAAAATTGTCAAAACAAAGAACCAATATTGCAGCTCGTTTCAGACTTGTTGCGGCGAACGAGGCTGAGAAAACGGAGGACGGCGGACGGACGCGATCACCCGCACCGTCCTGGCCACCGAAGGGCAATAACCCTCATGCCGAACAGCGACCTAGAATGCGTTTTTAGGTCTCTGCGGCGCTATCGTGGGAGAGAGGCAAAGAAGTGAGGCGGGTGGAAGACATGAATCAGTTCATCTTTTATCGAATCAGCAATAAGTATGCGTGTGTTTATTTATCTTGTTTTATTCGTGATGGCGGTATGGTAAGAAATGTTGCTGCCCAAAGGGTTGCAAAAAGAAAAAAACGTGAGTTTTTTTTTTCTTTCCCTCTTATTTGAAAGATAATTATCGCCATGCGGGCGTCCTTCCTATGTGGTTGAAAGTTTCCGAAATTTTTGTGTCTCTTGCTCTTCTTTTTTTGGGAGCTGTTTTCAAGGGCCAAAATGTGTTTGCGGCGGAGTAGTATATGGAACGGTTGGAAGGATCAAAAATTTGCCGCTTGAGCAAGAGCTGGCGCAATGGGTGCTTTTTTTAGAAACTGATTTTTAGGTGAAGAGTGCTGCAGCCTTCACGTAAAATTGTGTGTGGGGGGAGGGGGGAAGTCTTCTCTATTTGCTGTAATTGTAAATTCCAACTTATAGCCATCCCATCAGAAGATGAAGAAGAAAACGTTAACTTAACCCCACGCACACGTTTGTTTTTCTTTTCTTTTCTTTTTCCTATAATCGTCATCCCTTATTATGTGGGTAAATTAATTAGCACACACTGGGGTGGTGTTGTTGTCGGGGGCCATGCGAAAAAGGGAGCCTGCGTCTGTGGTTGGATGTGGGGTCCCACAGTGCAGTCCCAATTTGCAGGACTGTATTGTGTGTGTGTTGGTGTGTGCGTGTGAAACTCTTCTCTGTCCAATAAAAAAATCAAATCATCATACCGCCCCGCGTGCCATGCCTTGCTTTTGAGTGTCTGATTTGCTTTTCTGTGTGTAAATAAGTCCTGTGCTGTGTTGGCTGTCCTGCTGCGGATGGTTTTGCAGCAGCCCACACACAACACACAGCTTCGATTTTATAAATGTACTTGGTAAATTAATAAATGGGTTTGTTGTTGCTGCTGCTGCTGCTGCTGCGGCCGAAGCGTTTACAGCTTGTCCAAGTACTGCGACAGATCTGGCAGGCCTTCCTTCAGACCCTTACGCTTGCGGATGTCCTGGATGATCTGGTACGGCTTCGTGCTGGGGTCAGTTGGGTCACCGGGGA